AACAATGTCTTCAGAAAGATTACCACAGATATAAGGAGTTTAATGAAGGATAAAAAATGGAAGCAAGTAAATGAAGATAAGATGAATAAAGGTCTGGCGGGATATGGCATCAGCGATACAGAGGAATGGAAAAACATCTTGAAAAATATTTAGGTCAAGGAAGAAAACCACAGTAATGGAAAATTCCTTAATAATAAAAAAGTTGAAAAAAAGTTATGAATTATATATTTTATTCTTGTGAGGTAGATTTGCTAATATTAAGTTTTTTTCTACTGATCTAACGCTTGTATTTTAAGGCTATTGTAGACAAGTCCAAAGATAATTTAAATTTCAAACGAAACAGTAAGAATCCTCGCTATTTATTCTTTCACCTGAATCAATTTATATGCATATTCTCGCCCAAAGTTTTTTTTTTCAGGACGGTTATGTAGTTATGAGTATTTCGATGGTGAGGAATGGTGCCATTTGGAATTCAGTATTTTCGTGAAAGTTCGTTAACTACTTTATACTTGTAAAAAAGATTCCTTTTGAAATATTCTGGAAACCTTGGGCTTGAGCGACGGTAGAAGTTAGTTAGAATTCTTCCCTAGCTCCTGGACATGACTTGGTAGCGGAATGTATTCTTGTTTACTAAGAACATTTATTTTACTAAACAATTTTATACTCAAAAATTGTAAGTATTGTTGCTCTGGAAGAGATAATGTTTATAAAACTAGTGTTTCTTCGCGATGGTCAATTATCAATATAGTTTACAATTTTACAACAAAAAAAAAATGAGATCATTAGGGTATAGTGTAGGAGGTATATGTAACCGCATTTATGCATAGTTTAGTTTAAATTTCTTTTTGGAAAATTAAATAAAATATTAAACGAATTGAATTACATTAAAAAAAAAATTGTTTTGTACCACTACAACCTATGAGGGTCCTACGGTTCAGTACTATGTAAGGAAGTACTGTTTATTGGTCAATAGATGTATAGGAAGGTGATTCAACCTTCAGGGTTTTTTCCTGTACCTGTGATTTTTGGAGCTATTTATCAAGAAGTATTAATGCTAGAAAGCTGGAAAGGTGTCAACTTTTCCAAGTCCAAAAAATTTAAAATTTTATATATATATTTTTACATTAATACCTGCAGCAAATGATCAAATTCCAAGACCTTCGCGGTTAGCTGCCTGTTTGATTTGATATGGAATGACCCTTCTATAATTCTATATCTTAGATTTTTTTTAAATCCTAAGTTTTTTTTATTATGACGTATTGCACAAATATATTCATATCCTTATTTCTAGTGATGTTTTCAACATACCAAATATGTTTTCAACTAATTCTTCAATCTTTCCCCCGTTTTATAGTAAATATTTATCTATTTTTTATTACAGCTGACATTGAAATACCTTAAATAATCAAAATCAAATCTTATTTGTTCTTACTACTTAATTCACCTCTATTATCCTCATAATTTTCGCTACCTACCTTGGCCCATAGCATGTTGAGGTAGGCCGTGTTATCTCATTATCACATAGCTCTATGATTATCGAGAGGTTCGATAATACCAACACCACTCTCCCCTATTCATCTGACGTGATTGCCTGGTGCTATAATTTTTCAATGAAACAATTGAGTTTATGTTTTATGATTGTAATAAAATAATGTAACAAAATAATTTTTATAATAATATGTATGGATTAAAAATCGAAATAGATTTGTTTATTCATCGTTTTCCTTGTATATACCTTCATTTAAGATATCAATAGTCATCACTTCCCTGGATGACTAGTCCTATTCGGATGAGCTCAGAGCACTTCTTTTTCCAAGCACCCCTGTCTCTAGCAACTCTCCATCAGAAAAGTCCCGCCATATTATATTTTGCATAGATATGGTGCAGCTATCAAAGATCTGCTTTTTAATGTCAAAACTTTAATATCCCGCCATTATGTTCTAAATCGATCAAAATTTGTTGTAACTGAAAACTATTTTACTCTCTTCATTAGCTGTCTTAAATACAAACATTTTTCTTCCTTTATTATATCTCTATTTTTTCCCAATTTGTCATTATTTTTTTGGATCATTGCCAAGTTTTGGGCCTTAAAATCCTAGTTTTAATATAAAAAATCAATTTTAACGACCCAGTTGGTTTTTCCTGGTTCTAGTAAGTATTCTTTTCCTTTATCAGACATATGCTATACTCTATGCCGATAAACGAGTTGTGAGATATCGAGCAGGCAGCGGCCTGGGAGGCGCCGGTCCCTGAATGGACTTCGTTAGACCGGCTGCACTAGATCATGTTGGCATTGTCTTTGTTTTCTCTTGTTTCTATCGATCCATACTAGCCCTTCCACGATACATTTTACTCTAAATGTATTTTAAGATAGGGAGTTATTTAGATTAGTCCTATCCAAGCTATGGTCTGCCATAATTTATTTCGATTATGTTGTTAAGTTTACGACGTACTTAATTATTCAAGATATTAATCAGATGTTTTTCTTTAACGACTGTATATGAAACGCATTATTAAAATAGTTTTGAATAGGTTAACTGTTGTTAATGGCATGAATTCGTTGGCAAGATGATGTGGTTAGCTAGACCTTGTTCCTTGAGATTTAGTTATGGTCTGTATTTCAGTCTTACACAGACACAGGCACAGACAGACCCAAAATTAAACCTTGAACTAAAATCATTCTTTGAAAATTTCCTTTATAAAATATTAGTTAGAGTTCTCCGTCTTTTGTTCCAGTAACCTTCTGACTTAATTAATATTAATTATCTCTTTTATGATTACCCTTGAGAGCTTCTTGGAAAGTTTTCTACATTTATCAAAAAGTTCGTTCGCTTGGCCCCAAAGGATACTTTTTATTTTTTAATTTTGTCACCAGACTATTTAGATATATTTTTGTCTCTCTGCTATTATAAGATCGTAATAGTCCGAAGATTTAACCACGTGATCAGCGGTAGAAGGTTTGAAAACAGAAATTTTAATGCCAAAAACCCTCAAGTTAGACGGCTAACTGGGAGCGTTTGGCTACGGTCGAATTTCAAAAATGACACGAACAACTGCAAGAAAAAAATCTTCTAGAATAGTATCAGACCACTTAGTAGATGTCAGATTTAATAAATGATAGAAGTTTTTTTCCTGCTGATGATCACATAATTTTTGTCGCTTTTTGAAATTTTTAAAGGCGTCACAGATTCGTATAAATCTTCCAAAATTTTGCCTTGACTTTATTAAATCTATCATCTACTAAGTGGTCTCAAACTGTTTCAGTCGCTGATGGTTCGAAATCCGATGATGCTACAGCTTCTTCCTTTGTTACCCATAACTCCACTCATAAAATAAAACTACATAAACTAAGCAGCATATACACGCAATAGCCTCAGCCCTCCACTTCTGTATGTCAATAACTCCAGCTACAATAGTAGCTTGATAACCGATTCCTTGAGTTCATTAAAGGGTTTAAATGATATTTAATCAAAGCATCCAATTATTCTTAAAATACACAAATTTCATGGACACACCAAAATATTGATATATATTCTGTATTTGTGACTTGTTCTAAAGGGACACTAGTCCCAGAATGATAAAATTATTTTCATTTCATTTCATTTCAAATACCTTCACAATCTTGAAAATTTAGGAAAATCGGTTAGCTTTATATGGGTTCCCAGTCAGGTGGGTGTAGTTGGTAATGAGCTTGCAGATACGGCAGCTAAACAGGCACTCGCTCTCCCAGACAGATGTACTCCTATCCTGACCCCTCCAGAAATGAGTTTTACTCTCAAAAAGGAAATATTTGATAGTTGGCAAACTATGTGGAACGTAAGCCCACCTGGCAAATTAAAAGTTTTTAAAAAATCAGTGAAGCCCTGGACCACATCAAATCGCTCCAATCGTAGAGAGGAGTTCGCCGTGACCAGGTTGAGAATAAGACACACGAACTCATGTACATCTCATCACTAAGCAGCCTCCACCAAATTTTCAACACTGCAATAGCCCTCTCACAGTCAATCACATTTTCCAAGAATGCACTTATTATACTTCAAGCCTAAACCTATTATCTCTAAAACCGGATATATCAGCAGTATTAAGCAACAACGAATCAAACATAGAAACAGTGATAAAATTTCTTAAAATCCATAAACTATTAAATAAAATATGAAAATTATGTTTATTTTTATTTTATTGTTCTTCCTTTTTTTTATATTTATTTTAATATATTTCATTTTTTTATATGTTTTTAAATGTCTTTTTCATTTATTACTCTATCTATTATTAATTTTTGATTGTTCATTCTTTTTTTCTATTTCTCCTCTAAATAACCGACTCACAGGCGTTGATGAACTTAGGGTTTTACGCCTTAAAGCCTAAATAAACAAACAAACTGTTTCAGTCAGCTTTTCTTTCTGGTGCTAATCACATATTGTAGATCCCTCACTATAAACACGTCGGTTTGTTGTTGCCATGTAGTATTTGCACAATATTCTTTCTTAGAATAGTTTAAACTCGACCTTCCTATACAATGTCATTTTGGTTTGTATTATACCAGTGTATTATACTTTCTGGATAGATAGTTCCTGCTATCGTTAGTGTTTAATGTTTTTTCATTCTATCAATCGTTCTCAGATAATGACTATTATTATATAGTTATTAGTTGTGTTTCACTAGTGAAATTATCCCTCCTGTAAATCTATGAGACCTTAGCTGATTGTGACTGGCTTGAGCGCCGCTGAATACATCGCATTGCTGTGGCGGCTTAGGCTGTCGGGAATTTATCAGAGGAAGAGCTCGGCCAACTTGATCGCTTTATGTAAGCTCGGGAATCAAGGCGTTTAACGTGACGCGTTCGAAAAGTCGCTATTATTAAGTTTTACCTATTTATTTTACCTATTTATTAAGTTTTTTTCTCTCCAATTCTCTTTCATGAATTGATTTATTTATCTCGATTTTTTAATAATTGACTTGTGTATCCAAATATATATCAAGTGGCGATGGATCGCAAGGTGATGTATGTGCAAATATTGCCTGAAGAGAATAGGTGGGTGGTAGGTGAGTGGCGATAGAGGAGCAATTGCTCAACATGCATCGCCGGTGGATTATGGGTTGGCTGATAAGGTAATGCTCCCTTATCAGTTGAGTAGTTAATCGATTGTAATTTATTCTCGATAGTTTGCCCTGTCATGCCTGATATAAGCATTGTTGATATTAGTCATGCCATTCTCTTCCGGATCGCCTTGTAACCCATTAATTATTTTGATTGGGGCGATCCTCAGAAGTGTACGATGTTCCTTTTAAGGTTCAACGCCCTCTCCTCTTTAAATGGGCATCAACTCAAAATTGGGATCATTTTAAAGGAAATATTAGCATGAGTGATTATTTCAAAATAACGGGATGTTGTAATGATAATTAACGTTTGCTTTTTATGACACTTGAAAGTTATTTTTTAATTGTTTGATTGTATAATTCTACTTATACAACAATCTAATTAATGGGTAGTGTGTTAATCATCAAGAAAAAACAATTAATGCGTGTGCAAATCACGTGTTGCCGGACAACTCGATTTATTGAAGTAAAATTTGTTTGATAAAATAATTACAAGTTCGCGTCCCGGTGACGAAGGGAGGGGGAGGAAGTTAATTCTGCCATTAATCCCTGGTCCAGGAAAAAAACAAAACAATACAGCCTATAAGAGGAAGTTGAGAAAAAGCCTATTTTCTGTAACATTCCTTTAATTTAAACCAATTCTAATGATGATTGTTTCACGATTCTACTTGACCATTCTTAAATTAAAATACCAGACACTGTAGCCACTCCATTGTTTTATTAATGCTTTTCTGAGAAAATTTAATAGATTTGTAGCGTTTTAAAACAAATTATACTGTTAAACTTCTTTCACATTTTTTTAATTTTTATTTTCGAATTTAATTTATCTAAATGACATAGATTGAAGCCATTAAGACCCTTTTCTTATACCAACAAAAATTACATAAAACTTTTTAACTTTTCATCGTTAATTAAATTTGGTTAGGCTATAGAGGGCCATTAAAGAAATGAAAAACTAAAAGGAAACTGCTTAAAATTAGCGGCAGTTTAGGCATTCAAGAAGTTCTTACCTAACAACTCGAATCAAATTTTCAAACATGTAACTCAATTAGATGGTTTGTGAAGTTGCGAAAAACCGCTTGTATTTTTGCTAAATTTTGATTGAAATCTACTAATACTTCTATTGTTATACCTAGCAAAACCATTCTACATACCCCAAATTTCAGCTCATTTGATCCATAGAGGGCTACTGGAGTGCCCAAATTTAGGTGGGAAAAAAATACATATATATGTAGCAGCCAAAAATGGTGTTTTAGGAGTTACGAAAAATGAAAAAAACTTGTTCCACTACAACCAATGAAGGGTCTTAGGTTTCGTACTATGTTGGGGAGGTACTGTTTCTTAGTTAATGGTTGTGCAAGGAGGTGGTTTGACTGAGATTATGCTCAGCTGCCAGGTTTTCCCCCCTTAATTAATTAATAGTGCGCTCATAGAAGCTGGGTGTGTCTCAGGATGGTCCCTCGACAAATGACCCTGCAGGGTCAATTAACGGCCGATGAAATAGAATAAATAATCTACTATCAGCCAGATTCGAACCCTGAATAACTTAAATAACTAAGTTTTGTAAATGTATTTTTTAATGAGTATTATTATTATTTTTTAATGCAAGATTATAAAACAGTTTGTCATTATTGTATTTTTTTTTAAATATTCAAGTTATATTGAGAAAAGCTATTAAAATACTTTAAGCAATTTTTGGATTTAGATCTTATTCATTAGTCTAGGTTTATTAGTTAATTATGGGGAGGAGATAATAATGAGAATATAATATTAATTTAGTTATATGAGAATATATATTATATATTAGTTTACTTTCAATTATTTACCATTCGATTAACATACACATCATACAATTATAAAAAGCGAAAATTCTTAATTTTAAGGAAAATGTTATTATAATATTGTTATTTTATTTTATTTTATTTTTTTTCCAGGGTGTGTATAGGCTCACTTGTGAACATGTTCTGAGAGTGCTCAAGTCAGGACAGGAGACCCTCCTAACCCTGTTGGAGGCATTCGTCTATGATCCATTGATAGATTGGACACCGCTTAACGAAGGAGGTTATACGGGTGAGTTCGCTTTGTTGTTCTCTTTATCTTTGTTATATCAAATTTAATTTAAAAGCTATTATGGAAATGATTTAGGTTTATCAATTCATTTGGTAAATTACGTCTTTAGTTCTGCCTAAATTATTTGACGTAATCATTATTTATTTCTGTCAACTGTTGCTCATCAAAGATTCAACTGTGATATTATTTGCCTTAAAGGTGCGGTGTATGGCGGAGGCAGGGAGCTTGCCTCGGAAACAAAACAAAGCAAAAAAGATTTGGAGAGGGAAGTGACCTGTTGCATGTTCAAGGTTAGGATGGTTGAAGTCCAACAGCAATGGCTTGAGAACAAGTAAGTTTCCTTATCAGTCTCTATTTTGCCTTTAGAAAACTAAAAGTTTCTTCATTTGGTTAATTTTATGATGAATGATACTTGTTAAAACTTTATATTACTGATTAGTCATTTATGTTTTTTCTTTCAGAAAAATTTTATTAAAAGAACTCGAAGAATTGTTGAAAATGATAGAAGGGTGGCAGAAAGAGAAAATAAAGCAGAAGACAATCCAACAGAATCTTCAAGAAAGACATAGCCAGCTTTCTTTGCTAAAGGTCAGTTTTTGGCATCTTTTTATTATTATCGAAAAAGCTGTTTTTAAAGTTGTATCTAAATATTTTTAAACTTTCTGTTCTATGAGGGAAATGCTCTTGATTGAAAAATGTCTGAATCCTTATATTTGTATTATGGATAAAAATCCGCTGTCAGATGAATACATATTCATTATTGCTCTATTATAACTGTTGTTTTGGTCAATATCAACAAATGATAACATTTTCTCATTGAAAAATCCATTAACAAGCTGTTATTACAATGCAATCTAGAACTAATAAAATATAACATTTCAGCGATAAACTCATAATTTCATCTATTTCTGGGTACTTAAATTAAACTACCATAAGAAATTTTCAGAATAATTTAGTCCTAATTATACTGAAATCAAATATCGGTTTATCACTAAAAGTAACTAAGTACATTTTTAATAGTGCCGATCGTTGTTTAAGCATATTTTTATTTATTTTAAACTTCTTTATCAATAAAAAATTCAGTAAGTGCATCAAAATGACACTGACCCCTTTACATATTAAATATAATTGAAATAATTGCACCATGTTCTGATGAAAAATTCATCAAAGTGCTTAGTGATCGAATATGACTTTTAGTTACGTAGTGACTTTTTTCATTAAATTGACGATATACAAAATAGTTATCTGCATCAAAATTTGTTTTTCTAACTGTTGAAAACTGCATCATTGGCACAAATCTATACTTTTGCATTGATTATTTTGATGTAGTGATTGATAATCTCTGTTAACTTTAATAAAACATGATAACTAGTAATTTTTTTAAACTACTTCTCTCTATCTATTTTCGTAATATTTGAACATTTCTTATTAGAATGTAGCTTCTATTTTGTTCCAAATATTGTCTTATACTTATCAGAAGTATTACATTTTTTTTGGATTGATTATGATTGGAAAAATCCAATCCCACAGCCTTGTGTCTATAAAGTGGAGGTAAAAAACAAAACTATGGAACTAAAAACAGACTTTACCTTCTTTATAGAGACGCTAGGCTGTGCGTTTGAATTTTTTTGATTATACACTAACATTTAATTTCTATCTGTTGAGGTTTAATTGTATTATGCAATAAAAAAAATAAAAAAAAGATAATAAAAAGATAATTTTTTAATAATTTTCTATGATGAACTTAAACTGTTGGGCACCTGGCTATTTTTGCCTTCAATCTCCAAACAGACAAATATATAAACTATAAATAATTACTTATCCATTATTTAAACTGGCCATAATAAAACATTCAAGCTACCATGCTAGCTCAGGTGGAAGGGTTAGGCTGGATTTTATAAAGTAGCATAAAAAAAGGTATTTCTAGTTAGTGGTCTATTTATCGAAAGAAATATTCACAGAGTTAATAATATGTACAAGCAAAAGAAATAAAACAAAGGGAAAAATGAGAAAATTTAAGTATAATAACTATATAAAATATAAAAAAAAATTAAGACAATAATGATAATAGTAAAAACGAAAAAAGACACTTATTCTATTAACTATGTACAGTTGTATGGCATGCCATATCAAAACCTAAAAGAAACCATAATCCAGAGCACATGCACATGCTAATCTAGGAATTAATTAGTCCCATCAAACAAAAGAAGAAATTGATATATATATATATTACTTTCAAAGCTTCCTAGATTGGATCTTTCGGCAATGTGACCAATATTAATAATTGCTTTTTATTTTTAGATGTTTTATTTCTTCTTTTATTAGTGTATGTAGTTAAGATTCCTTGTTGTTTTCATTATTATTTTGAAACATGTATTCTAAATTTATTATAGAAAAGGTTTTTATATTTTCACAGGAGACGGAAGGTCAACCTAACCACACCCTGTTTACGCTTGGATTTAGATATTCCAAGCATATCCAAGTGCTAACTGCCAAACAGGCCGTGACCACTGCTCTTCAAGCTCGTATTCAAGAATGTGATGACCAAATAAGCAATTTTCAGGTAATTTAAATTTGAGATGGGAAAAAATAATTCAATGTTACATGTTATATATAAAAAATAAACAACAATGGCTATGATTGATTGATCAAAAATTTCTTTTCAGGCTGTGATGGTTGCATTGAAGAGCCCTGATATGGCCAAGTGGATCCGTGAGGTTGGGCTGAGACCGAAGGAAGATGTCTGTCAGGTGTTCGATCTTATCAAGGAGTTCCTGCAGAATGCTGGACAGAATCAAATGGTTCAACAGGTATTCTATTAATGATTTTGTTTTTCTTAACTAATTTCTCACTCAACTACACAAATAATATTTAATTTATTTTCACTGAAATAATATATATGTAGTTTTCTTTCACTTAACTAGATATGAAATATACAGTAATCAAAAGTATTGTGATAATGAATTTCAAAATTGAGTTTTAAACACAAATACATGTTTTAAGGTCTCCTGAGTTGAAATAATCAAGTCTCACTAAAGTAAAAAAAAAAAATGTTTGGCTGTATATGTGAACACCCTTGCTTAAAAATGAAATTATGTGTTTGAAGTAGGCATATTTGATAATATCAAAGAATTTGATAATTAAATAAACAAGAAAAAAAATATTTTCTCAGGTTTCATACCTATTTCTGGGAATAATAGCCATAATATAGGTTTATCATTCATTGTTGGAAAGCTAAAGATTTTAGAAAAATTAATGGTTAACGTAAGAAATAATAAACGTATAGAGAACAACACAACATAAAATCCGTATAAACAAAAGATAGTGAACCTTAAATAAACAAACAATAATCATCCCATTTGCACGCTTCTATCAAAATTTTCATTGAGTTAACAAATATTATTAGATCTTCTGAATCTTGAAAACACACCTTACTACACTGGTACAAATATTTTTTCGAGTTTCATTCAATGTTTTCAATGTTAGAGGAATGTTGTTGAATTAATAAAAAATAAATAAATAAAATAAAGAGTATTTCACTAAATCATTAATCATTATTACACCAATGGGAAAACACTGAAGGTTGATCAACACTTAGGGAAAAGATAATAGTAGATATTGCCTTTTATATTTAGGTTTTGATTGAGCTCAGCAGTATTTGATTTTAAGATTGTATATTGAAATGTTTCAATTTGATTAGTTAAAGTTTTATGATTATTGTTTAATAGTGTGTGCAGTCCGAGAGGGAAGTGGGTGAGCTTTGCTGCCAACAGACCCAGATGACATCTGCGCTCCTCGACATGCTGCGGCAATACTGGGAGATCTGCAGGCAGTACCCTGCCTCCTCGTTGGCATCCCATCGCTCCTCGCTTTATAAGAAATGGTGTCAGGAGCTCTTGGAGGATATGTCTCCAACCAAGTATGAATAATTCTTCGATCTAGATTTAAATAAATAAGATATTTAAAAATAATTGTGGAGAAGTTTGTCCACCAATAAGGATATTTTAAAATCTCATATCTTAGCTAAATTTGCCCACCATCGGGTTTACTAAAGGACCTGTTTAACATGATATAATTTATAAAATTAAGTTAAAACATGATGAAGACACTTTTATCATTCTTAATCAGCTTGAGATTTGAAATTTTTTGTTTGCCCATTTTCAAAAGCTCTTAACTCATTATTTGGTAATTTCTTTTCATATTATTGTAAAGTGTTGTACAATTCTTATTATTTTTTTTAAGTCGATACACCTACCTTACCATTTATGGCATTGGGGGTTGTTCTAGAGGTACCACAAAACCTATTCTAACCAAAATGGGAAGGTCAAGATTCATTCTGTGAGTCTGCCTTGAAATAAATTTTAACGGACCGGCATTATTAGGCTCGAGAATGTTAAGATTTATGCTTTAACATATTTGGCCATCATGACCTTATTATTTATTAAACTATTACTTGTAAACAATTGTCTCAAACAATATACTTCACTGTAGATGTTAATCAAATCCATTAAATATGTTTTTATTTCTTACTTTGTTTTACTTCCTGCAACTAATCCAAATTTGAAGTTTTAGAGTTAACTTAGAATTTTTATCATAGAATGTATTTTCTAGATTATTTAAAATATATTTTTTGAGGCTTGTGCCTTTTTCAAAATAAACCATTCAATTCTTATTGTTATTTTTAGATATATTTAAATATAAGAGAATACTAATATAAATGAATAAATAAATAACTTTAATGTTAATAAAAGCAAGTTCTGTTCTATTCAAGTCTGCTAATATTTAGCAATCAAGCCCACAGCATTATTGTACTTATATTATTTTATTTAATAAGTTTTTATTTTACAGATGTCAACAGCTGATTGAACAGATCAGGCAGTCAGTGGCGACAACAGATGAGACTATGAGGGAGGCTGCAATGTTCTCAGCAGGCTTACACAGGCACTATGGCGAGGCAGAGGCAGCTCTGAGGCGAGCCTCTGACAGAGCAAAAACACTTCCTCCACACCCTGGCTATGATCTCGAGACAACAAGGCTTGATTCTCAGGCTGTCGAGGCAGTCATCCTCACAGCCCTCTGCGCTCTTAACAAGAGGTTTCTTATGATGGAGTCTGCTGCAACTAGTATGTCAAATTACTCTTATATTTATCATAGTAAACCAATTAAAAAACAAAAATATGAATTTTAGACTAAATTTAGAGAAATTATAACTTATTAACTTACTTATCAACCACCTAACTCTAAAAACCTGTAATAGCCCAGAATCTGCCGAAGGTTTAACCAAGTGATCAGGGGCAGAATACGACTAATTTTAACGAAATTAACTATGTTGGGGCTGTTATATAATTCATATAGCTCCGCATTTTTCTATATCTCCACACACCCTCTTCACAAACAGCTCCATAAATTTTTCTCAATATTTTTCTTTAAAAAATATTCATCATACTAATTGTGCTCGACAAAGGGTCCATGTCTCCACTGCATAAGTCACAATAGATCTTACTAAAGTCTTATATAGTCTTATCTTTGTTTCTCGTGACAGGAGTGATGATCGAAAAAAATTTTTGGTTGGCATAGTACACCCGGTTTTCAGCCTTGATCCTCTTGTACACCTCAACAGCAATTTTATTTTCAGAATTCACTTCCACCCCCCGATATGTGAATTTTTTGATACATTCGAAGGTAAGACCACATATTTCAATGCTCTGTGGACCAGCCTCATTGTCGGCTCCGACATACATGTATTTTGTCTTATCTTGATTGATTTCCAGCCCAACATTTTCACCTACGGCTTTCAATATTGCAAAGATTTCTTTAATTAATCTTAAATTTCTGGTAATTAGGCATATATGGTCTGCGTAAGCACATATTTGCACCATTGCGTTAAGTATGCAACCAGGTGAATCCAATTTTTTCAAATCATAATTAAGTGCAATATTAAATAATGTGGCAGACAAAGCATCCCCTTGCCTAACCCCATCCGTCATTGGAAAGCTATTGCTTACATTGCCTTTAATAACTACTTTTGCATTGCTATTATTCATAGTCATTTGCAATAACCTTATTAATTTTTTTGGAATTTGGGACTCATGTAAGGCATTTATTAATTTGCTTCTTATTACTCTATCGAAAGCTTGCCGGTAATCTATGAACAGCATATGTAGGTCAATCTTATATTCCCAGGCTTTTTGCATTATCTGTCTCATCACAAAGACCTGATCAGTTGTTCCTCTCCCCTTCCGAAATCCACACTGGTTTCGTTTGGCTATGATAGAATTTAAAAAATCTCAAAAACTGCCAAGTATTTGTAATTTAACGTCCTCATACAAAATTGGAAAAACACAAGTGTGTGACATGAAAGAAAACTTATTGTGTGAACAGTAAGTCCAAATATTAATGAAAAATATAACTTCCTAAAAACTTCATATTTTGCTGTTAATCATGTCGTATATGAGTTATTTTGCCAAGCTTGTGCCTTTTTTTACCGTTATGTGAATTTCTCACTTTATATGTTATTTGAAATTAGAATATAAATCTATATATTGTAGGAGAGGACAAACCTTTTACCTTAATATTGTTCCTGCATAAGGTTATTTTATGTTATAATTTTAAATATAAATAACATAGAGATAACCATTACTTAGAGTCTTTTACTCTTAGGTATATAAATAAATACTATATAAATAATTTTCAGGTGCTGGGGATTGTCTGCTTAACTTAACATCCCGAGAAGGGGACTGGTTCCTGGAGGACATGGTTCTGATAGCCAGCACGGCTCTCAACCTGGTGCCCCTCATCCCGAGTCTCTCTCAGGAAGGTTTAGATTCCAACATCTCGACTGCCATCAAGTGTCTGCAGGCATCTTTTGCCCAATACAGCACGCTACAGGTTATTGAATTTTTTATTCATTCACTTTCTTTACTACTAATAATCATTAAGTAAGATTTATCAGATATCTATATCTATCTTAGTGGTTTTAAGCCCGAAGTTCGACTGGAGTTTAAACATTTTATAAATGAACTACCCTTTTGATTGCACCACTTTTCAAAAACTGATAAACTCAGTTCAGTGTTTGCTATGCCAACTTTATGCTCTTTTACTTTGCTTCAACTAAGTATATGAGAGTTGGTGGTGAGTGGTGGGGTGGATCGGAACTCTCCATTTGAGGTAGGCTCTTTTAAGTTTGAGAGAGTAAAAAGTTTTATATACCTTCGGTCTGAAATAAATAGCAAAAATGACATGGCTCAAGAAATACAGAGAAGGATCACGGCTGCCAATAGATGTGTCTATGGACTTGGCCGACACTTAAGAAGTAGGTATCTCGCAAAGAAGACCAAGCTGATTCTATACAAGACCCTTGTAAGGCCTGTTTTGACATATGGCTCAGAGGCTTGGACGATGAGGAAAAGTGATGAGATGAAGCTGAGTGTGTTCGAGCGAGGAGTCCTCAGAAGGATTTATGGTCCATTAAAGGAGGGCGATGTCTGGAGGAAAAGAAAAAATAGGGATTTCAGTTCTATTTATACAGACATCAACGTAGTCACATATATTAAACTTGCCAGATTAAGGTGGGCAGGCATGTGGCCAGAATGAGCACCGTTGAAATACCCAAAAAAATAATGATGGAGGAGCTGCACCTCGCAAGACAGGTAGGAAGGCCGAGGACGAGGTGGTTGGACAACGTGGCCTATGACGCGAGAACCCTGCTTGGCGTACGGAACTGGAGAACTGCAGTAGAAGACAGAGAAAACTGGTGGAAGCTCTTGGAGGAGGCCCAGTCTCGGTAACGGGAGGTCGTGCCACATATGTATGTACTTTGCTTCATTGCATCACATAGTTGAATGAATTGATATAAGTTTCTCTTCCTGTATTAACAACGATATTCTGTGTAAAAACAAATAAGAATTATTTGATTTATTTTTGTATTTGTAGATGTTTATTTTAAATTAAAACTTATTTGTATTAAAATAAATATTTGTAATTTCTAAAGTAAATAAATGAATACAGATTTTTCAACCAAGGGGTTGGATAACGTCTTAGGAAACATTAAATTAGGTTGTAGCCCTCTCTAGCACTGTAATCTTCATCTGCCCATGTATGAAATTTATGTTGTAAGGGAAGGACAGTATAGCAATCATGGAAAATTTCTTAATCTGAATTTTCAAAAGAAAATCCACGTTTTGAGGTCAATGGGCCAAAACCAAAATAATCAAGTCTAGCAACATGGTCTATGTGCTGATAAACAGCCTTCCTCAAAAACAAAAAGTTGTATGAAACTGAAGTTACGTATTTAAAGCAGGTGTTTAATATCTGGTAGATATTAACCTTGACTAAGGAAATAATCCTATTAAACCAAATAACCCTCGATGCCTGAAGAAATCTCAAGACTCCTTCGGATCTTCACATGCACCAATGCATGGGATGAAGTAGTAATTTTCACAAAGAAGTAACACAAATGTGGTTGTAACACAGTATGAAGTAACACCAATGTGTACTACATACTGTCTGACTATACTACATACTGCACCAAGTTGAAATATTTGTGGGTAGAATTTTTTTTTTTCGTTGTATAGCTTCAATTTAAACAGATTCTGATGGTTTTATTTAAATTTTAAATTAAAAAAATGAACAAAAAATCATGTGAATTAATTAAAATTGGAGCTAAATATCAAAAATTTAGTGTACTTAAAAAAAAAATTCTCAACTTACTGAAAAATGAACCACCATCAGCCTCTGATATGGTACCACTCATTTGTCAAAGCAATCATTGCCTCTTATTAACCACACTTTTATATATTGCCTATCCAAGCATTATTTCTGAGAATCCAGATTGAATCTCTCTTATTTAATGATGTTTATTTGTTACACATTGTCATTTTTGTTTTAGGAAGTTGACACTAATTTCACCAATATCATTTTGGTGGAGGCAATGCAAGGTCTGCAGTGTGAGGAGCCTTCGGTGCTGAACATGGTTGAGCGACTGGAGTCAGTTGTGACCAGCGTTGCCCAACCTCTCTCGGAACTCTCCAACCAGTTGCACCGCCATCTTCGATTCATCATTATGGGAATGGAGGTAATTCTTAATTTATTTTTAATTTTATTAAATTTCCAATTCTACAAAACTGTTTTCTGTTTCTATAATTTAATATTTACATATGTTACTTTCAAGCAATAAAATAAATAAAAATTTAAATTATTTTGGTGATATTTTTTAGTTGTTTATATTCTATTTAGACAGTTGTTGACCATCTGAATTGAGCATTGATATATTCTCATTTCTTTATGTTCTTACAGTCGCCGCATGAAACGTGCCTGGCAACAGTGATGACTCTTCAGTCCCAGTTCATCAAGCTGCTGGAGCCTGCAGATCAGTCGCAGTTGACTCAAGGTGAGATGCTGCTGATGGGATTTGATGGACTGTTCACAAATGTCAACCGCGGCAGGGATACACTCCTCCAGAGCTTGGCTTCTCTCCAGAGTCCCTCTGCTTGGAGGATCATTGATCAGATTAGGGAAGCCAAAACATATTACACAGTGAGTATTGATATTCAAAACATTTTCAACGAACTGTTATTCTACCATGCATTGATTTAAGTACCTCAGAAATAATTCATCCTACTAAGAATCTTTCAAATGCCTGCTTTTATATTTATATTTTGCAATTTCTGCTTCTAAGATGGTTTTTTTTTTTTTTGTAGGCACCAATATGCATCGACAAAACAAAAGATGTACTGGAGGCCATGTTCTTTGTGAAGCGCCTTGATACAATAACTGAAGTACTTAGGATGGTCGCATCGGACGCACGTGGATTCCGAGCTGAACCGGGTGCGCCTCCAGTGCCACATGATCCCGAATCTCTTTCGAAGCCTGTGCGCAGGTACATCGCTGATTATATCAGTTATCAACTCCTTGGAATATTCTCACTGTCGATGGCCACAACCATTTGTCTTCTGCTTCAGGCAAACGGATTGGATGTTACAGGTATTGTGATTATATTAAATTTAAATTTTCAATACTTTTATTATAAAATTTGTCAGTAAAAACTGATCCTATCAATATGATTTCTTTAATTTTTTAAAATTAATTCTAAACAGGTGCTGTTGAACAGAAAGACATCGGAGCTCAAAGCAGAGTTCCTTTGGAAGACTTATGCAAGAAGGTAATTAAATTTTTTTTTTTCATTATTTTGTTTATATTTGTCAATTCTTTCTAACTAAAAATAGAATGGAACTTTGTCATTTAGTTTAAAACTGAGTTTATACTTGATTACACTTAATAATTTCAAATAAGTGTTGCCAGTTTCTGATTTTTCACAATTAGAATTTTGTTGTCTCAGATTTGAATTTTTTAAATATTGTATTTTCTTAAATATAGGTTGATCCTAAATATAAGCCAATCTCCTGTTTTTGAAATCAATTTCCAATTGGAATTTGTATATATCAAAAAGAAACAAATATACTTTATTACTTTCTGCTTAAATCAATAGCATCACAGCATCTTTAAAATGTTATGACAGAACTTTGTAATTAGATCATAGACAACTAAACTAAAAGACCTATGACTTATTATTAATATGAATATGTAAGTCTCCCATCATAAAACTAGAATCTAACAACTATGATGTGTTGTTAAGATTTGTCTGACTCAAATTTTCCTAGATCAATTCCAAATTTGAGGCAATACTAAATATAAGTTAGATCCTCATTGTACGGTACATTCAAATTTTGGACTTATATAGTCACATTATAATTTTAACAGGTTATTAATCGTATTTCTTATTCTTAAATTGATAGTTGATTCTTATCTTTAATATCTTGTACTATTAATTGTTCTATATAAAATAATATAAACCTGCAGGCTGCAGGATTGCTTTCTGTTAATTATTTTCTACTTATCTTGAAAAATTGAATAAGTTATGTTTTGGTGTTATAGATGGTAGAGCAGTTGAGCCGGAGCTCAGTGCGAGAGGCGAGTGGCTTGGTGAGCCAACGGGAAGCCGCTTGGAGACAGGGCCACCTGAAGTCTCGCTTGGAGCGCGAGCTGGTCTCCGCTGAAGGAGCCCTGTACCGTGCCCAGTGGAGGCTTACTGCTCACCACTGGCTACATGAGCACATACTAGTCAGCTCTCCTCAACCTCCAATCAGTAAGCAGATGGGTCTATTGTGAAATAAAAATTATTGGTAATGGTGATCTAGAAATGACAGATGGTTCCTTTGTAACTTTTACAGACAGGAGTGCATTCATGCATGAGCTTCGTAAGGTTGCAGGAGGACTGCAGGTGCTGCAGCCGAAGCTGAAGGAAGCCTTTGACCAGCAAAATACTCTAATAGCCAGCGCCGAGCAGAGGCTGAAGTGGGCAGCCGGGGCCAATCCTGCTCTTTCTGAGGTATTACCTTTTGAAGTATCATTTACAACAGTTACCTGCTCTTTATGAAGTATCAGTTACCTTTTGAAGTATCATTTAAAACAGTTACCTGCTCTTTATGAGATATCAGTTACCTTTTGAAGTATCATTTACAACAGTTACCTGCTCTTTATGAGATATCAGTTACCTTTTGAAGTATCATTTAAAACAGTTACCTGCTCTTTATGAGATATCAGTTACCTTTTGAAGTATCATTTACAACAGTTACCTGCTCTTTATGAGATATCAGTTACCTTTTGAAGTATCATTTAAAACAGTTACCTGCTCTTTATGAGATATCAGTTACCTTTTGAAGTATCATTTACAACAGTTACCTGCTCTTTTTGAGGTATTATCTTTTGAAGTATCATTTAAAACAGTTACCTGCTCTTTATGAGGTATTACCTTTTGAAGTATCATTTAAAACAGTTACCTGCTTTTTATGAGGTATTACCTTTTGAAGTATCATTTAAAACAGTTACCTGCTCTTTATGAGGTATTACCTTTTGAAGTATCATTTACAACAGTTACCTGCTCTTTATGAGGTATTACCTTTTGAAGTATCATTTAAAACAGTTACCTACTTTTTATAAGGTATTAACTTTTGAAGTATCATTTAAAACAGTTACCTGTTGTTTCTGGATTTGATCCTACTCCTTAAATTATTTGATCTGTCTATTTATATGCAATCAAACACAAGGTGATCCACTATTAGCTTAAAGAAGTTCTGAAAAAATTTAAAGTACCCATTTAAATTCTAAAATACTCTTCCTTTTTATTTTTTAAAAGAAGTATAACCATATCAGATGGTCAATTATTTTTATTATTTTCAATAATAAACCATTGTTTTCGACTAAGAAAAAATAAGTTAACCCCCCCCCTCAAAATTCAAAGTGTTCTGTTTCACTATATGTAGAACCCAAAAATCCAATACAATTTTTTTTTTTCGTCTGCTGCTTTTCTCTAAGACTATTGGACTGATTATTTTGAGATTAATGTCAATTTTGGTATCAAATAAAGCCAGAGATCACCCAAGCGATGATCCTCCCAAATGACATGCAAATTACTTAAAATGTATGCACTTTTTTGGTTGATCATATATATATGCTTATTTGCAAGATGATTTTTAAACTTAAGAAAAAAAAATCAAAATTGGATGGATTACTTGGTGCAGAGATGTGGCGTCTTGAACTTCATCCATTAGTTCTAAAGTACAATTAATTTATTTTATTTTATAATTTGAAATTTTTATTTCCTCTGAAGCAGTTGCGATTGTTATTTGAAGAATAATTTAATTTTTTTAAAATTATTTTAATAAAAAAAAATCTTAAAGGAACAAACTTTGTGTTTAATTTATCCAGAAGCGGTAAGGAATGCAGTAATACACTCCAAAATTTTTTTATGTATAAATTTGGAAATAATTAACTATTGTATAATAATATACAGCCTTTTTTAAGATGTGTAGTTATAATTATTTTACATTAGTCATGTATTAAAGTAAGATATGTGATAGGTCATGAGCGCCTTTGAGAGCTGTGTCAGATTGCAGCGTGATCGAGTGGACAAGGAGAGGAACTTGGCTCAGCAGATAATATCGATGGCAAACACCGTCCTGTTTAACGAAGCTTTGCGTATACCCACACAGGAGGCTATCCTTGGTGATAATACTATGATGAGGGTAAGTTGTCTTATATTCCACATTTTTTTTTTTTTTTTTTTGCTTTTTGAAATATGTTTTTAGTATTTAGTTTTTTTTTGTTTATTTTTATTTACCCAAATATTGCTAATTAGAGTGAATTCTTATTTATTTCCTTATTAAATTAAATTTGCTTATTACTAATATATGTGTTGTTTTTTTCATTGAATGTTTACAGTTAGTTGAGGATTGTGAAAAGGCGTATATGCTGATTCAGAATACTACAGTTGTATTGACTTCGCCTGAAGAAGGGCTAGTATCCTTACTTCCGCCAAAGAAGAGGATTGATTCTGACTGGATCGCCAAAGCTGAAGAGAAGATTTCTGGTAATTTCTTTTCTTTGTATTTTAATCTTGTGTTTTAACTTTCTATTTGCTAAAAAATACACACAATCTTCATTATATTATAGGAAACAATTCTGTTGATACTTATTCAATATATTCAAAACTTTAATATTTTGTAGAAATATTACAGAAACTTTTATAGTTAATTATTATAATAATAGCTTTGATATTTGGTTCAAATTAGGTTTAGTAAAATTAATTGATTTTGTAGAAATTATTGTTTTATTTACATATGTATACATACACCTAGTCCTGTCATAAGTTCTGCTATCACAAGGAAAAGAGAAAAAAAAGAACTGAAATTGAATTTTGAGAAAGAAATTTATGAATATAACATGCCTTACATATAAATGATTAAATGAAAATTAATTTATTTACTTGTTGGACTGTGTGAATAATTCGTTATATTGGACAGTAAACAATTGTAAATATAATATAGAAATAAGTTAATTCAATGTACTATGTGATAGAGGAAATAATTTTCTTTTTCTAAATTAAATCACTGTCGTTCAATCATAATAATCTAAACTATGAATTGTATCTTGGCTAATAATGTTACGTCATCAATTTTTATTTATTTTTTATTTTTTTAAATTTATTTATTTTTATTTTTTAAGGGAATTCAGTAAACTTTCAAATAATCATGGGTCTAATCTAGAAAAAAAAATGTATACTTTTTAAGTTATGCGCAAATAACGGTTTTTTCTTGAAATTTTGGGGGAACGTTACTATAATTCGTCACTGCTCCACACTAATACACTTTTGTTTGATACCTGATTCATCAAAATCCACCACTCCTGAGAACTGGAAAAGGATATAATACGTTAATTAAAAAAAAAATGGATTATATATAAAGATAGAATGATAATCTCTCGTCTCTACTGAGGCTTCTAGTATGTGAGTTAAATTGTCTGTTGCAGTACGCATTATCTCTTCTGAAGTATTGTCAACTTCTTTCACCGAGGCAGTATTCAGACTTGCCAAAGTAATCTATTCCCTTCGGCAAGCATTTAACTCAAGATATGAATAACGATTAGTATTTAGGGGGTTTTGAACTGTACTTCCTGTGGGTCAGCTGGTTCCGCAATGACAAGCTTGTGTACAAGCCAGAGGTGGCCGAATAGAATAAATTATTTTCTATTTATATTTGTGCCGTTTTATGTCACTGTCAAAATTCAATCTTTTTTTTTTGTAACAGAACTAATGGCAGAACTTTGTTGAATTTGTCGCCTTTGATTAGTTGTTAAAAATTTCAAGTTCATCTTTAGCCCTAAAGATTTATAAGTGTATAAAAAAGTCCCTATGTTTCTCTGTTAATTCGATTTTACTTACTCTTTGCTTTTTATTGTAGAGTCCATTGTGTCATTAAAAAGTGAACTGGAGCCAATGCAATTGCGGCTGACTGGATCTGAAGATTGTGTGAAGAACAGGGCTACAATAATAAGAAGCGTTCTAGCCAAACATCATCGGATAATTGCTGATATTAAAACTCTCTTAAAATCTATGATTAAGGTATTTTCATTTTGTAAAATTTATTTTTCAATTTTGTTTTGTGCTGGGTCTAGTGAAATTTTACAATCATGCTTAAAATTATTGCCAATACCAGTTATTCATTTTTCTTTTATTAAATGCATTTTTGAAATTTTCAAAACTCCAATAAATTTGTATTAAAAGTATCTTCATAATAAGTTTTACTCCTATGTTAATTTTAAATTACCAATAAATCTATTGAGAACATCTATGTAAGTACAAAATCAATCTATATCATATTGAACTCAAAACTATAAAACCTTAAATTCCTATATAAAGCTGTTCGGTTCAGTTACAAATATAATATAGAATATTAACAATGACAAAACGCTTATTTTAAAAAAATTAATGTTGTATACTCAGCCCTTTTATGTAAATTAAGTGAGATCTCAATAATATTTTTAAAATGATTATTTAATGGTTAATAATTTGTGTAAGTAATATATTTATATATATATTTAAATTAATACTTACATTTCTGGCAGTATGAAGATGCAGGTCTCTCTGGATTGGAAGAATATTTGACTAAGCACAAGCATTATACAGAAAAGTTGGGATCGCTGACTAAATCGTTGAGTAGCAATAACATCCCCATTGATTCAGCAGCAATAGCAGAAATAGCCAATGAGATTAGGGCTATTGCTTCTAAGACTGGTGAGAATTTTTATTTTTATTACGACTCAAATTCTATGATATTCTTCTTTCCTCGACAATAATAACATTTGTTTCTTATTCAATGGAGTCTGTTATTTTTAAAGATCTTTGCTTCGGTTTCTTCCACACCTTTATTAAATTTATTTCATGGGTCTTCAAATTGTTTGGATCTCAGCTGTATGTCACAATTTTTTTAGCAATATCCTCCATTTAAAGCTTATATGTATATAATCAAACATAAAATTCTATACTTAGAGTAGGGTACTTCTTCTTTACTTTCATAATATTCAGTATTTACTCCTTCATAATAAATGTTTCCACATAACATGTATTATCTATCTTATCTAGATATTATGCATGTATTTACTTTTATACTTAATAGAAAATAATTGCCATTATTTGAATAAAATCGTCAGATTGGATAAAAAAATCCTATTCTGACAATTACAAACTATTTACTCATTACCTAGTTAGTATTTTGGCTTTTTAAAATAACGTTTAATGAGATAAGCATATAAGCAGTTAAGATTGTGTTTCCTGCTACATTGATTGCACTCTAATATTGTAGAATAATGGTTCAAATGTACTAATATTTAAAAAAAAATTAATTAAAGTTTATCTCTCTCTTAATATATATTTAATCAAATAAAATAGCCTCTAAAGAAATCACTAATTATTTTTCTCTAAACCACATCTAGATTAAAATTATTTTAAGCTTCTAAAATAAAAAAAAAATTGCTTTGTTTTTCAATAGCTCATCTCATGTACCCGTAACGAGTAATACGATCATTTATGTCTATGTATAATTTCAAAACACAATATAAATTTATTTTCAGAGCAGTCCTGCAAAACTTACAAACGTACTTACCTGGTTTTGGAAATGAACACCTCAAATATATTAATGTTTTTTAATTTCTTTATAAAGTTTCATATGACCTTATTATACATGCTGTGCATAAATATTAATGACTTTGATCAATTCTTTATATTTCCAATAAATGTAATGACTTTTCAATTAAAGAAAATATTCATTTCCTAAAATGTTTTACAATTTAATTGTGTTACATTCCAGATGGTATTTACTCAGAGTTGCTGCAATTCAGTGTAAGTGACTGCCCTGTTCGACGACCTCAGGGCCTCCGGGTTCAGGAGGATCCACTAAACAAACAGAAAAAAGGTCCTCCAGGTTCGTGCTTCTTTTTTTTTTTAATGATCATATTTATGTTCAGTACAATTTTTTGTTAGACTTTTCTAAATTTATTTGGCCACTTAGAAATCTAAATATTTGACTATAATACTTTTCCTTTGTGAATTGTAAAAGTTCTCTGTTCCCATTTAGGATCCCAAGAACGGAATGCTTATGCTATGAGTGTCTGGCGAAGGGTGAAATATAAACTGGAAGGAAGGGATCCTGACCCTAATATTCGATCTACAGAAAAACAACAGGTAAGTTCTGATTACTATAGTTATAAATTGTTATTCAATCATATTCCGGGTTTGTGTATATACAATAAAACTTCATTATAGTCCTCACAAAATAACCAGATAAAAATTACACTGTTACCAGGATAATTTACAACTGGGAAAGTATTAAAAAAAAAATGCGTACTGTAATGTATTTTTAAAAACAGCATTTACCGATTTATTGGTGTTCAGAAGTTATGCATGGGAACAAACTTGCCTTGTTTTATTTACATAGTATGCAGTTGAACTAGTTATGCTTTTTAGCATGACAAAATCTTCTTAATTTAAATTAGATTTTTCGAAATCTGGTTTAGGTTAATTTAAAAAAAATAAAAATGATGTTAGTGACATGATTTATTGAAAGTAAAAATAATGCAACTGAGAAAACAGGATAAATTTCTGTTAAACTGACAACCTTTCAATTTGTGAAAATACTTCATCTCAACGAAGTTTAAATATTTCTGGAAACTGCTTTCATGGAATCAATTATACTGTTTCTTATTGCTTTACCGTTTTCTTGCAGTACTGAATTCATGAGTTAACCTTTCTAAAAAACAAAATGTTGTAAATGTAAAATATATCTAAGAAAGTCAGAGCATTCTAATGATTTTTAAAACCAAGTATTTTTTAACTGACTCATACCTAGTTAATAATAACTCAACTAAATTAAATTATCTTTATAAAGAATTATTCTCATAGTAAAAATAATTATTTAAAAAGTTGCTCGTAATAAGTATAAAAAAAAACTTGAACTTGAAATTTGAACTCGGATCGCTGGATTCAAAGTCCAGAGTGCTAACCATTACACCATGGGACCAATAAATTTTGACTGGTACAGAGGAAATTGGGGAATTGTTATAATACTCAGTGCTACAAACACTAGCAGATCTACGGGGGGAGGTTCACGAGCTAAATTCTTCCTAAAATGAAATACATCTTTTTTTTCATTAGTCAATATTTTTTACTGTAAGTGGTTTAAGCTAATTACTTAAATAAAGTTCTATTTTTTAAATTATAATGCATTCACAGCTACTAAATATAACCATTGCTTATGTTGTGAAAATATTATTGCTCGTGTGACTTTTTTTTTAATTGGGCTTTAAGAATCACAGACATTATTCCATATAGGTACTTAGTTTCTTTCCTTTTTTTTCCCCCAAAGTAATGATAATTTTATATATATAAAAGCTTTCGGGCTGAAGCCCCAAAAATAATTCCTGGATCCGTTACTAGCTAGAAAGAAGCTTTTCTGTGTATACATTTATATTTATTTATCTGTGCTATATTTACTAAATTCATCTATATTAGTCTATATAGATAAAGTTGTCACTCTGATGCTTATCCTACAAATGGGTTGAAACAACAACATTTTTATTTTATCCACATGACTTATCATTAATAAATATAGCATGAACCTATTACTTCATTCATACAATGTTTGATGATACATTCTTATGGTTGCAGGTGGACTGGACCATAACGGAAGCAACAAATGTGGACAACCTGGCCTTGCTTTACGAGGGCTGGACACCATGGGTGTGAGTGTGGGTTAGGGGAAGAGAGGACCCCCTTCAGCTTGAGCCAGGAGCATCGTCTAGAGCCTGGGCCTTATCGCGTAGCCTTGAGCCTTCGGTCGCGACAGCCCTTAATTGCGCTCTGCGCTCCAAACATTGTGCTCATGTAGCACAATGTCACGCTTCAGTCAAACGTTTAGTTATCAATCAAACTATATTAAGTCAAATTTATTTACATCTTCTTCCCGGTTAACTCGGTTGTTTAACTTATGTTTTATCATTTGACCAATCATCATCTCTCCCTTCCTTGCCGTTAAGATTGCCTCGTTTGGATGGGTGCTTCATGATGATAAAAGATCATCGTCTTGCAGAAGAATATCGAGAAGGAAAAATATTAAAAAAAAAAAAAATAAAGTTATTATTAAAACAAGAAGTATTGAAATAAGAATTGAAATTTAATTGCTAACTTGGGAATAGATCAGTGAAAATTTTGTGTATTTTTATTTTTGTCAGATATTAAAAGGTTTAATTGTATTTTATGGTTTTGTAATTGAATTAAACCAATTTTACTTATTTTAATTATACTTATGAATCATACATTTGCCTTGCAGTTAAACACTTGTTTCTGTTTTAACAGACTAATATCTAATAATTGTTTTGTTCTAGTTATTATTATCAGCCTTCGAATTGTTTTCTGCATTAAACAATTTTAATTATTATAGATTATTTATTAATAATTTGTTTGACTGAAGTTGGAGATTGTCCATGTGTTTCTATACTTGAATATAGTTAAAAAAAAATTAGATTAGAAATTTGGAAATCATTTATAATCATCTGGCAACTCATTCTGATTCAAATAATCAATACTTTGAAGAACTGACCAATACTAATTTGGCAAAGGGTTTTAAAAGTAACTTTCTGAATTGTAGTAACTTTAAAAAGTAACTTTCAGTTAGCTTGATACCTTGTTCTGTTTTGTATTTTTTTATTTTTAGTATGTGTTGAAGCTTTATGCCATAGTTAGTTATAAATGGCATTTTTTGTTTGTTGCTCATCAAATACTGTCCCTTATGGATAATCTACAACTTCGCCGGTCATCACACTGATCTGTCATGAATTATATCTTTCTTTCTTTCTCAAAGGTTATCCTTAGCCATTTTATTGTTGTTTATTTCACTTTTTTAAATTTAAATAAGATGTTTATGTCATAATTCTACTTCCATTAGTTCAGAATTGTAGTTGGGCATATATTAAGTAAAAAAAAAAATAATACTTCGACTTTGATGAGTGGAATTTTTCATTTCATCCACTTGATAATTAAAAAAAAAAAGTCTTTTTAAGGTTATAAAATTTAAAATGTGTCAGTATTATTTGTATTTCATTTCTTGCTAAGAATAATCCTGAATAACAAAAATATTTGTTTCACTAGCGATTTCTATAAATATCTAATATGTAGTGTTTTTAATCTGCTGGTTTATGTTATTCATGTTCAACATCTGTAGAGAACAGTTTCAGAAAAATGTTTTGTTTTGTTGAAGAAAGTAAAATAAACATTGTGATCAGTATATTTTTGTTTCATTTATATTTTTAATCTCATACCTTATATTTTAGGAGAAAAAAGAATTATCTTTTTTGGCAACTCAATAGAAATTCAATATAAATTTAATTTAACTTCTAGACTTTAATTTCTTTGTCCTTCTGATTTGAGCTTGGAATAGCCATTATAACTTAAACAAACTTGACACAAAAACAGAATTTAGATAACTAAATAATGAACTTAATTTTTAATAAATTTTTTCCTTGAAAAATTTCAAGTTCATGGAAAGGAAGCAGGATTCACTAGGATCCATTTATAAAAACTTTCTTTTAAAGCAACGATTATATTGTACATACAGAATGAAAGATATACAACTCACAAAATGTTTTTCTTTATCTGAGAATGAACTTTTGGCACTGGTTATGTTCTTTATAGAACCATGATATTTTCTTTATTATAATATTGGACATTAGAAATGTTGAGTTGTGATTCTTTCATGAGGGATGTATAATATGTAAGTGCTTATGATCTTATAAAAAATTCAATTCTCAAAAACTTTATTTAAATAAACATTTTTTTATATACATTTTACAATTGGATAAGCATATTTAATTGTTTATGCAATTATTAAAAATATATTGCTAAAAAGACAGAGTTTCATTAGACATTAGTAATACTGAGTCATAAGAATTACATTTAACTCTTTAATAAATAAAAATATCAAGCCTTATATATAATGAAAATTTTGAGAGAATAAGAGAGTCAAATTGTGTTACATATATTATTATTATCAATAGATAAAATACATATTGTTTTACATTCATCTTATACATATATCAACATCAAATATATACGTATTTATTTATTAGCATACTATGATATACAAATGATAATAATTATTTATATAAAAATATATTCATGTTAAAGAATAAAGTCATTGTCTCCTAAGGTTCAATGGAAGAAGGGGTTGATCATTTGAAAGTATTTTTGTTTATTGGTTGAACTTAATATTAATATTTAAAAATTATACTATTTTTATAAATTTATATTTTTACATTATAAATCAGATTACTGTTATTAAATAATAATTTGCAAAAAGCACAAAAACAAAAAAATCTCTTTTAAGAGTATTTTAATACTTTGTCATTTTTTGATATGAAAAATAACAAATAAGATATAGATAAAAGCATTGTAAAAGTTTAAAAGAGTTTTTGTGCCAGAATATTTATTAGCACTTTGAAGTAATAAGAACAGTCAATAAATAACCTTTAGCTAATTATTAATCTGAAAAGCTTTAAATAAAATATTTACTAAATTTTGAAAGTATTTAATAAGAAGTAAATATTTCTTATGTTTTAATTAAGTCAAAGGAAAAAGAATATTTAATAAATATGTATGTTATGTTATTTATCTTCTCAGACATTAATATGTTAGGGCTCCACTGTATCAGACAAGATGAATGAAAGTTTGTCTTTGGTATTTACAACAAACCTTTAGCAGTACAACTAATGGAGAATCTTGTGCTAAGTAGAAATATTAGTTTAAAAAGTAGATTTACAAAGAAATTGACAGGATAGCATCATGCTCAACTCCAGATTTTTCCTCAAACCCACAGCCAAACATATATGATTTACAACTATTAATAAACATGTTCAGATGCTACAATGACTAATGATGAGTGTAGGTACTAATAAGCTAGTTGTATTGGTGTAAGAACAACCTATATTATATCTGTTGCCAAGTAAGTTGTCCTAAGTTTCAAATCTTTAGGGGAATAGTTTTAAGTTTGATTACTTTCTAATTCATTTGAGGTGTGTTTTTAATTGGTATTTTGTTGTAACCTACCAATTTTGATTTTTGAATTGACCATATGTTTATGTGTACCACTTCATTCTAATAAAATTGTAGAGATATGCCTCATCTGCTTTCAGCTCTTACATTTGTAACCTTCAATCTTTAATTTTAATGGTACCAATGAAATCATTAGTATTCATATATTTTTTATTAATTTGAAAAAAATATTGTTTTAGATCAAGACCTGTGTAATGATGATTGATTGGTTGATTAATTGATGAATTTTTTGTTGGAAACATTCCAAATAGTTGTTTTTATTCAAGCCACGACAATAAGATAAGGTGGGCCTTTATGTGTACAACTGAAAGGGGTTGACTTTATTTGGAAAAGTGAGTGTAACCACTTCTTCAATGGCCTTAAATGATCCATAACATGCCTAATATAATTGGACATTTGCTGTTTAGGTTAGGACTTAATGAATCAGATAATGGGTTTATTAATTCAATTATTAAGTTATCTGATCATGGTACAAAAAGGGTGGGAGAGTGTTTAACTAGGGAGAGACTGCAAATGATGAAATATCTTCAAAATGACATAGAGCCAGTTCAATAGATTTGTTGGTATTACCAATGATACAAGAAAACATTCTTAAAATATGGATTTCCAGGAGAAATAGGAAATGATTTTATTGATTTGGTTTGTCACGAGATATTTTATTTATTTACAGTTTGGATGTACTGACATCCAATCAACTGTGATGCGGGCTAATAACTTAGAGCAAAACATTAGTATTTATTAAAGGAGTATATCACATTACTTATCTAACACCCTCTCTGGCGAGGGGCTAGGATCTGTACTCCTTATGAGGTTATCCAAAATGGTTTGGTGGCACGCAACACGGCCATCCTCTGGCTCAGTGCCAACCTTTTTCTGTGCACTGTGTGATGTTCCGGTACTAGGAGAGTAATGCATATTACATTATTATGTGTTCTTTTATCTGACTGCTCCTCTAACCATCTTAATATTTATTTATTATGTTTAGGTTATATTTTATTATGATTCCCGCCCTCAATCAAATCTTGGTCTGTTGCTCTATGTTTAAGTATAATTTACTCATCACTTTTCCAGATTTCATTTGATATTGATTATCCTTTATACTGTTATCCTAATTTTGGGAAAAATGTTCTAGCCATTCCATTTATTTTAACAAACCACATCAGTTATCTTCTTTCATTCACTCACATTTCGAAAGATCAACCGTGGATCTGGTAAATAGGACTACGAAAGGAGCTAAATAATGGTACTTTGCCTGCTGCAGTGGATGATCAGCCTTCACATTAACAAATAAATGCTGCATTAACATGGTTTATTGATAAAGCTTAATTTATAATTTAAATAAAAATAGTCTACTAACAATTCATGCTTGTTTCATGAATATCATCATTAATTTACACAATGCACCAACAAATATATCAATCAATGAAATATCAAACTCAAGAGACTAATGCCTCAGTTTTATTTACATATTTAAGATGATTTTGGTAAATTGTAGATTAATATTAATTTAAATAAAAATTACGTGAGTCAGTCCAAGAATTTTTTTAAAGAAATAGATATGCTATCTAATAAATATTTTTATATAACATAATGTATCTTATAAACTAGCAGTTCATGATAGTAATGTATATTATTATCTGGGACATGTGCAGTTATATGGAACCATTGTGCTCTTAGATATTTGTAGATATATTATGATCAAAATAGATATGTTTAACAACATTATCAACACTGTATCATCTTTCATGCTTAAAGTAAATTGTAGGAAGATAGTTTAATTAAAAAGCATCTTATTTAACACCACATATAAGCCATTATTTATAAATTTAATGCTGTAGATTAATAATGTAATATTTAAAGTCCAAGTATGTTTCATTTAATAGTATATAAAACTTAATATTTTTCTTATAATTTCTTGTAACATTATAAATTATTATATGTGATTGAAAAATTATTTTTTAGGTATTCATATTCTAATTTAATTATTTATTATTTTCTTTTAAAGATTTATTTCACTATGAAAATGATTAAAAATTATATTTTTGAGGTTTGATCAAAGATTCTGCTATTTTAATTTTGTAATCTCATTTAATAATTTAATTAAAATGATGTAATTCACTTCATGAGTATATTTATTAAGAAATAAATAATTTTGAAAATACAATATAATTTATAACTTAGTTTACAGGATTTGTATCGAAATATTTCAGGTTTTCATAACATTATTCTACAAATGCTCCAATGTATTATTGTTTTGACAAAGAGAGCTCTGTTTTATGCAACTAGAAAAAAAAGTTATTTTAGGATTAAATGAAATAAGATCAGTGCTCTCACATTAAAATCTATTGTTCATTGCATTTCGCATCAATTAGACTAAAAATTGGTTGATAGGTTGACATTTAAACTGTTTACGGGCTAAAATTCATAGTGAAGAAAAATATAGTGAAAAAACCACACACATACATATTAAAATCTTTTTTTCTACTTTATTCCAGTGAAATTATGAAGTTCCTACAGAAAGATAACACCCCTTAAGCTAGCCAACATGTTTCTATTTGAATATATTTCTCTTTAAAAATATTTGTCTTTAATTTCTGTATTTCCACTTAATTTTAAAACTATTCTTTCAGAGTAAATCTCGAAAAAGATGTTTTTAAATTTAAATGCTGTCTCGAACAAAACTTCCCTCCCTAACTTGCACAGTATAATTCTATTTCATATACACCTCTGTTTCACAAAATACTAATTAATTAACAGTGGTATGATAATAATTTTTAGCTCAATTTGGAAAATGATTTTCACCTTAAAGAATTCATTATATAACAAAACATAAAATAAGTCAACCAATTATTTTGTTTTAAATTTTATTCGATGCCGAATTAAATTCTTACAAAATTAGAACTATTTATTTAGCCCTTTGGTTTTTTTTTCCTTGAATATATTCATCAGAAGAAGTGTATTCCCTCGCTTTTTGGATCCTGGCTAAACGAAAATGGACATCTTTTAGAATGTTACAAACTCTAGGTAACTTTTTTGAGACCAGTATGTTTTAAATACTTATTCAGATATAACTTGTGCTACTAAATGTTAGTTGAAACATGGATATTTTTTTAGTTAGCTAGAAGATCGTAAGTATGTTTTAAGTTATTTGGTTTTTATTTATAACTAAGTTAGTTTCTAAATTTTCTCATTAATATTTATATTCAAGCAAAAAAAAAGTGAAAAAGAAACTAAGAAATTTTAATCGTTGTGATTTCAATTGCTTTTTAGCTAATGATAATGTAGCTGTAATTAACTCTAAATGAAGATGGAATTACAATGGCCAACTTTTAGAAATATTAAATTGTTCAGCAACTAGTTGGTATAATAAGTGTATTTTTCACTCCCATAATTAATTATTTAACAATTATTCACTACACAGATCGTCATAGTTACAATTCTAATAATAATTTGAATCAGATATCACTCACCCAATCATTAATCTCGTTGAATATCTATAAGGCCTTTGAAATATTCATTTGATGATATGTTAATTCAGATGTACTTATTTATATATCAGCTATTATGTGATGACAGAGAATCGTAAAAACTTATTTTGATAACTGAAATAACATGTATTAATAGCTGAATTCGTATTCTAAAGTTGTTTTATTTTATGTAGTTTTTCTGTAAATTATTATTATTATTTTTTTTTAGACATCAGCCAACACAAAAACAAAACAATATGCAATTGTTTTATTTATTGTGATAGAAAGCAACAGCCTAAATTACATTAGCTGTCTTCAGGACCATAACAATATGTTCAAATTAATCTGAAGCGAACCTTTGATTTTCTATGACAGTTTAGCATGTATTTCAGTGCTTTAGTCATTTAGATGATAAATAGAAAATAGTTTTGTATTTATGGTGACTCCATAACAAGGAATAATTATTACAAATCATAATAACCTTACACCCGCCTCTTATAATATCTGACCATACTTCGAAAACATAAACTTCTAAAAGCTCTTCAGTTACCATTGCTTCAGAATAGCTTACTTATATTGGAAACTTGGTAGTTATATTTTACAATGTAATAGAGATTTCAGTTTTTAAATTTAAATGTTGCCATTAAGTTTGCTTAATGTAGCAATAAGTTTACCTAATTCTTGAACTTAACCTCAACACTAAGTATGTTCTTCATTGTAGTTACTTATTTCTGTTTTAGTTCAAAATACACTATTATTTTAAAAATTTATTTCTGAAAACTATTAAATTCAAACTATTCTCTAAGTATTATTCAACTCTGGACGAGCTATTTAATTCAAAGGCCACTGCAATGCACTATAAGCACCTTATGGACTGATTTGTCAAATAAACTAAATTTTAATTTTACTTCTTCAATTCTGATTCTTAATTTGAGAAAAATAATACAATATATATTTTTAAATAACTAATATTATGAATTTTAGTGCATTATTTGTTTTTTTTCTTTTTTTTTTTAAGTAGAAGTCTTTCTTTTGTCATTTTTTTTTTTTTTTGTACAAAAAGGTATTTGTATTTTTTGTACTTGGTCTTTTCTTTTAATTTATAAATGTGAAGAGGTTGTATCCATATTTATGCGTGCACCATTTTAAAACTTAAATATACAAATATATCAGGCCCAATAAAAAAATAGTTTTTAGGATTACTGAGAGTGATATTTTAAAAAGTATTTAATAATAAAATACTAAAGTATCTTTATATTTTGGTAGCCATTTTTGTGTCAAACAAGTTGAGTATCATAATTTTATACGATTTGGAATTAACTATTTATTGCAAATTGTCTAACTAAATAACTATAGATTGGTAGTCTTGAAAGATAAGACTACTAGTTTTATTAAGTTAACTTGATGGCTCAATATTTCTGTTAAATTCAAAAGGGAATGGATGAATTAAAAAAAATAAATGGTAAAAGTGAGCTGTTTATTGTTGAATGCACTTTAACTTCACCAATAATGGCTTTGGTTTGTGCTGTTTATTAAGGGCTGTATTGTTCTTGAACGCTTTGAATGACTTTTACCTCCTGGGAGGTACTGTACTGGTTGGCGGTTGGACTGTAGTCAGAACTCCAGAAAGTGGTATGGGGCTTGCAGCAGCTGGACCTGCAAATACTGGGCTGTATTGCTGGCTGCTAGGGTTGCTATAGGCGCTGATCAGAAAGGACAAGAGAATAAGAAGTGCTGCAGCACACAATGCAGCCAGTCCCACAAGACGGCAAAGCTCCAGGCGCTGGTTGTAGGCGATTGCTTTTCTATCCAAGTAAGCGAGTGAACCACGTCTTGCCACAACAGCCTCTCGCACTGGAGTTAACTGACCTGTAAAATAAGGAATTATTAATACAATAAGAGGTGATGGCTAAAAAATCGGGATGGTAAATTTTGGAAGTTGGAGAATTTTGATAAAATATATTTTTGTCCTGTAGGTAATGAATACCATGCTCATTTTTGTATTTGTTTGGGGGAGCCAATTTTCCATAACTTTGAGCCATTTAAATATTTTCCTTAGTTACTGAATCTGTGCCCTGGAGGTTAAGGACTCCATGTCATATTTTTACATCTGTTTAGGGGCCAATGTTACATAACTTTGAGATATTGAAATTTGTTTCTTAGTTAATAAATTATTTAATAATAAAATGGACATGGTTTCAACCTCTGGGACACGGATATAAGGTCTTATTTTATTTTTTTTTGGTTGAATTTACTGATCTTGCAGATCTTTGGCCACTTGAGCCAGCCTTCTCCATTTTTTCCCATGTTAGGCTACTTCTTTCCAGTTTTCTGCATGCAGCATCCTTGTTCATTTGATCCATCCATCTAGCCCACATGATCTCTTTCCAGCTATTGAGGCAATTGCTGTGTAGAGGCTTCCTGATGTATAGCTCAAAGCTAAATTTTGGAATTTTTAGAAAATTTTGTCCCACTGAATATTAAGATATTGATTGACTAATTTCTGCAAGCAGTTTATTATAAATTCTTCTCCATTATGAATTAATGCCCTCATCCCAGATCACCCTGGTTATCATGCAGTGGATTTTTTCTCAAATCTTCAATTTTTTCGGGGGATGCTGGCCAGTGTCCAGGTCAAGCAGCCATATATCAGGACTAGCTTAATGATTGCATTGTATGACGTCACTTTGAGATTTCTAAAAATTTTTGGAATTTCAATACTTTTCACAGAGAGAAGAAAGATCTTTTTTCGCTTGTTATAGGTTGGGTTTTTTTTATGGTATAGGGGCAATAACTCTATCCCATAAAAAAATATCTTACTTAAGGAAGTATCGTGTTCAATTTATAAAAGAAGGAAAAGTAAATATTATTTTCGAACACCCAGTCCCCTAAAAATGATCAAACATTACCTCAAGAATTCTATTGGAAGTGTGAAATTGACTAGGTAGAAGATAAAATGAGGGATAATTAGGGTGACAATTAATAAGATTCTTGGGACCAATGAGAATGTCCTTGTTAATTTTAATTTTTTAAGCTTTCAGAGTCAAACAATTTGGGTTAATGAGGATGGGGATAGGTATGAAATGAGAAACGTTGGAGGAAACAGAGATTGGAATTAGTGGATGGACTATGACTTTTTTGATGTTATGATGAAATGGGATTTTCGAAGGGAAAAATTGTTGATACACAAAAGTGCAGAGAAGATGGCAAAAGACATGTTTAATTAATTGAACAGGAATTTTATCTGCATCATAGTCATTATTTATGGATTTGAGAACAAAGGAGAATAGGTCTTCAGAGACAATTTTTATAAAATAGAAATTTCCAGGATCAAAGGAAGTACTAGAACATAAGAATATTAAACTTCAGCAACATTTGTCTTTTCTTATGCAAAATGACTTTGGAGGAAGGAAATGATAAGAATTACACTTTATCAGTAGTGGTTCTCAAACATGTTTGTCTCTTCTTGCTGTTACTAATTTTCAATCCCCCATTTCTCCCCAAGCCTTATATTTAATAAAAATTATTTTAAATATAACGGAGTATTGGGCTTCTAGAAATATTTTTATTTTTAGAGAGTTATCATTAATATTGGTTTTGCAATAAATTAATCTCTATGAAAAATCTCTCTAAATATATAACAAAGTAAATAACAAGAAACACAAAGAATACAATAAATAAAATGCTTTATAGTATCAAATTAAAAAAAAAAGAATGAACTATTTTTAAATAAAATCATACGCACCAACCAACACAGCTACGACCCCAAGAATCAGCAGAGGAACACCACACCATACACAGGCCTTCTCCCAGCTACAGGTTCTCTTTGGCTCGTCTTCCTATAACATCAAATATGAATTTATTGTAATTTTATATTAAGATGTGGTGGTATTCTTCAGGGAGTACTGTTGCACCTAGTCCACATATACTTGTCAAAAGGCTAATAAACAATTAAAAAAAAATTTATTGTTAAATCTTAAAAAGTGCTACATTGTAAACTATAGCAATTTCATATAAAATTAGAGGCAGCAAAAAAAAAAATTAAAAAGATTATTTCTGAAGGCATTTAAATTATATGGGATCTTGAAAAAATATTTTTGATTCATTGTCATACTTTACATGTTTAAGAAATTAAATTGATATAGATAAAATTCTGTTAAACATTTTTTTTTCACTTCATTAAAGTGAAATAAACTGATCCAACATACAACTGGAGAAGATAAAATGATTAGCCTGTTTAGTGATTAGTATGATTATTACACAGTATTATTGGTATTGGTATTATTGCATTAGTAGTAGTGTGTACAGAACCAGTGAGTGCATGGAAGTAGACATCAGGAGAAAAGGTGACAGGCCACTAGATGGAATATTAATTTTCCTATAAAAAACAAATCAGTATTTTTGAAGTACTTACTATCAGTAATTGTGCTTTTGAATAAAAGGGTTAAAGGGTATACCTATAAATCCTATACAAGGGAGGAGAAAGAAATACTGGGTACTCAATAACCTATCATGTACTCAAGAGTTTGGAGTACTGCAATACTGCTCTTAACAATCTTGATCTATATAACAACTAAGGATGGCACTGAGCATACCAGACAAGAAGCTGGTAAGTGGTTTTCTAACATTTGTCCTTTTGTTAAATTATTAAGTATTAATTATTTTTTTAGGGATTCACTTTATTAAACGTAGCTACTTTTTCCATAGATTCATATTCCTGACAATGAGTAATCTGACAAAAATTTAAACAATAACAGTATTATATTTGCTAATTTTAAATTATATGGCATATTTAGGATTACTGGGGGATTCGAACTATGGAAAGCTTCCTATAAATGAAAAATAAAATCTGTTTGAATACAATAACCTGAAAATTCATGACCAGTAAAACCAATAACAATAATATATATATATATATATATATATATATATATATATATATATATATATATATATTAATTATATATAATTTTTTTCTCGAATCTTAAGGTCCATTTTTTTCAGAATCCACATATCCAGACATTGCAATGAACGCCGAGATATGTGTCCAATATTTATCGACGCAGAACCACCCGAAAGATTTGGTTGTAATCGATGGTCCACCGACTGAGACTTCTTATCAGTTCACATCATAAATAATGACACGGCAGAAAGCCGAAGTTGCGCAACTGTTGTGATATATTCACTTTTTCTTCAGTTGTTGACAATAAGGATCGAATTACAGAATGGCGAGGCAGTTTTAACTGCGCGTTCTTAATAGGAAGCCAATGTCGGTATAGAGTCGGCTAAAAGGTTTCTCGTGTCCTGGTTAGGCCTGTATCACTCACCTCTTAAAATCCTTTAACGACTGCCTCTTTGTGACCGATCACTGATCTACTTAGTTTAGTGTGCTCTGAATCTGAGGGAGAAATAATTAGGATCTACATTTAGTTCCGATACACTTCTTATAAATCCTGAAATTCAATGTATATTTTGTATACCTAAGTAAATATTCGCCTGAAAAATGGATCATCTAAGAGATTTTAGGTTAAAATAGCAGGTCTTGCAGAGACGGTAACATAGTTCAATTCTTTGCGTGTATTTTTACGGGAAAGTCTCCTAAAACAATTTGATGATTGTCCGTTCTCCAAAGGTGTGTGGAACAAACTGTTGGATCCTCTAACCCACTGTGTTCTGCACGAAACATAAAGTAAAATTATTAGATTCTATGCCTATAACCTCTTAATCAACAATTCAATATTCTAAAGTTTTTAATGCGCAATAACTGTCTCTCTCGTGTACTTTACGTCCATGAACAGGCGGGTCTAGAAAAGGGGAAAAAGGGGGGAAGCCCGGAACCCCCTCCCAAATGGTAAAATATAACCATGTTTTATTGACAAAAATATTAAAAACTATCTCTTACAGTATTATTGTTCATGTGATTACATTTAATAGAACTTCAAGAATCACTTTAACACCATGACATATAGGTAGTTAGTTCCTTGCTTTTTTCTTTCAAATTAATTATTGTTATATATATGAAAAAAAAAATCTTTCGGGCTGAAGCTCCTCCCAACATTAATTCCTGGATCCGCTAGTGCGTCGTAAGAATGTTGTAAGTATATAAGGTCTACTACCGCTTGATTCATGGGTATTTTGAACTGATTTTGTAATAAAAATATATTTTTAACTTTATTTTTTTGGTACTTTCTCCTAACGTGATATTATTCAAGATTTTACACAAGATCTCTCAGGTAAGCCCTCTATTCTCCGTACATTTTTTGTAATTTCCAAGGAGTATAAACAATAACAATAAAATTTTAGTACCACCTCCAATTTGTTTTGTAGAAAACAGTTTGATATCGGAAAAAATCTTTTTACGGCTCCACACTAGTTTGTTCTAAATTAGTTTTTGCCGTTTTTCTATTAAAGACGAACAAAATATTGGAGTTTCTAAACCTCAGCGAATTTGTTTTAAGATGTGCCTTTTGATATTGATGGAATCTTAAAGTAAAATAAACAAAAGTTTTATAAAGAAAATAACTGAATGTTCATGAAATGTTTTCATCAGTTTAGTGGTGTCAATGGAATCAATAAAAGCACTTAAGTCTTGATCAGATCTAGTTTGTCACCATCTATCTGATCATTTTTATATTTCCATTTTCGTTTATTGTTTTTATTTTTAACTTGAAAGTAACAAATTATGAAGTCGCTTTTTTTAAAATTTTTATTATTATTGACCTGTTTCTATATCATATCTTTTATTGCAATCTAAACTTAATATGATTATATTTTATGCCTGCCCAAAATATAAATTTCCACAGCATACTTTGGATATCTATATTTAACCAATATTTGTTAATCATAACCTAGAAATATTAAGACCTAAACGATTAGAATGTACTAACTATGACTTAAAGTACTTGTATTTGAGAAAAAAAAATGTAAATTAACTATCCTAATAACAATAATTAATAATAATAATTTTAAAATTATTTGTCCTAGGAAATAAATAAAATACAAAAATCACAAGCTCAGATGTAATATTTGCCTTTCTCTTTCTGTAAACATTATTTATCATCTACGTTAATATCATTACGACCTAGTCTGATTTGTTTTATTTTAAGAAAGAACAAAAACAAATCAGAAACAGCAAAAATTCATCATTAAGTCAAGATTATAGTTAATTTCATTTATACATTTATAATTGTCTTAAAACCGCAATGATGGCCCCTCTTTCCCAAGAGCCTCGGTAGCGCAGTAGGCAGCGCGTAAGTCTCATAATCTTAAGGTCGTGAGTTCGATCCTCACCCGGGGCACTATTTTTTTCTTTTTTATTAATTTTAAAGATTAATCTGTGAAATTAAGCCAAAATGTATTTTGTAAAAAATCAAGTATCATATGAATACAAAGTAACTTATGTATATGACGAAAAGCCTTTAATTGACTCATTTATTAATAAATATTATAAGGCGTAAAATTATTGATAATTCACAAATATTTACATCAATAACGAATAAGAATAAGAATAACATTTTATATTTTATTAGAAATTTAATGAGTAAGATTAATAAAAAATATATTAAAATAAATAGTGAAATAACAGTTGTTTTGATTTTTTTAACATGCTACATTGTTTAAAGATGCTTTTTCCTGGCTATATATGAAATATTAAATTTACATATAACCATAGTATAAAAAAAAAATGTATGACTTTCCGTATTCTGTATAATTTTAAGTATCCTATAACCCCACTAAAAATTTTTTTGTTGTTTTGTTATTCATAAAAACATATTGAAAAATCATGTTTCCTGGTATATTTATCATGACATGATTATTGGCTTCCAAATTTTCGCATAGGTTCATTTTGAAACATATACATTATTCTGGGTGTATTATTAACGAAATTAAAATCAGTTCAACAGATATTTATTAACACAATCTTTTAATTATATTCTTAATGATAAATATTTATTAATTAGTGAATTGTGTATAAATTAATAATTAGAGAACTTTAGTTTGAGTGTAAGCGTGGCACGTTTCAACGCCTTTAATGATTATCCATTTCGTGATCAATCATACAAAAACAAATCTTAGTAATTAAAGATCCTCAATGAATTCCAGGATGATAACGAACGATCTTTTAGATTTTTGAGTATTAACACCGTTAAATAGAAGCATTCTATAAAGTCTTAAAACCTATTTTAATTTTAAAAATCATGTTGTTTTTTGAAATTATAGTTATTAAATAAATTTTGATTTATTTATTTTATTTTAAATAATTATCATTTCATTCCAAATAATGACCCAAACTCTTATTACTGGTATTTCATGAAATTCATAAAAAACATTAGGATATTTTCGCTAATTTGAATTTAGTTCTATGTTCACATTATTTATTATTATCTTGACTTTTATTTCGGTTGGCGCTACAGCTCATGGAGATTTTTGACATCTCGATCCCTGATTTAAGTACTCGAGGTGTAGGGTCATCAGTCCTACGCCCGGTCGGTGTCAGTTGCCACCAGTAGACTAACGGGCCTCACATACCTGGGGGCCGAATCTTGGGCAGCGTGACTTTCCCTGGTATCTTGACTTAATTACTCTTTATTTTCTGACAACTTCTTATTTTATTGATGAATTGAATAATTATAGGTTTACTTTGTTACCTCGTTGTGTTTCTTTATATTTCTAATAGTTATTACTTTTCCTTATTTTAATGATTTTTTTCTAGTTATAAGGACAATAATAACCATAAGGAGATTTAAAAACTAACAATAAGAAAATCACAACATATTATTAGGATATTATAGCAATATTCCACCCAGTTTAAAATTTCGTTACAACGACGTTACTTTTGGTCATCAAACTTGAAATTTGGTTAAATTTTCAATCAAAATTATCACCTCTGATTAAAAGAAAGACTTATTTAATTTATAATTCATTCCTGAGAAGTATCATTTTATCATGTTATTCCGTAGTTTAAGCTCTGAAGTTAGAAAACGTTAAATTAGGTTTTAATAAACAACAATTTGAATGGTGTAAGTCTAGTAATTGGTATTTTGAAATATGTGCGTGAAGATAAAAATAACACGTAATATAAACTTAATTCACTTTTATACCTTTTTTTTAGGCCAATAACTATGAATATAATAATAAAAAAAAAAAGATTCTTCAAGGGAATGAATTTCAAATTAAAATTAAATTAGTTTTCTTATCTGTCTTTTAGGCGATGGAATTTAGTTTTTTGTTTGGTATGTGGGCTAAATTTTTTAATTAACTTTTTTTATTGATTTTTGCCACTCTTTACTCACTGAATTTTTTTTCTCATATATATTTCTCTCCTAGCTTTATATTAAACCTGTCTTTAATCCTCATCAAAAGCGAATTAGAGTAATATATTTATTGGAATACAAACGTTATAACATGTTATACGAATAATTTAAATATTTTTGTTTATTACCTTAAGAATTCTAATTGTATTTTAATATAATCGTTTCATATTATTAGATAACGCGGAGCCATTAAAGCAGCCTCTGACCGCAATAGAATCAACAGGTCTTGTTCTCATAACGGTGGTTAAGTTACAATCTCATCCATTGTATCAACAAAATTAAATCATCTATTCTAAACATAATTATTATAATTAATGACAGATTAAGTTTAAAAATTGCTCACAATTGTTTAATTAGTGCAATTTAATTAATACATTGTGTGGTGCATAATTGACATTTATGTATTTTATAATTGTTTCCACGAATTTTAAAATTTATATTTCATATAAAATAAAATACAACAATACGGAAATTTATGAAACTTTACAACTTTTGCAAGTTGGAGGTTTTAGTGAAACAGTTTTAGCAGTGGACGTCTCTGTTACAAGAAAATTCTGTAAGTTCCAGATCACTGTTACATCCGGCCTGAAGAATAATAACCTGGTACACTTTCTGTCCCATACAAGATAAACGTCGGACTAATCACGAAATCGAAACGAATGTAGTTATAGTAGTTACAACCACTAACGAATCCAAGATTCAATTTTGGGAAGGGGGCTTCAATCAGAAAGATTTTTGTTTGTTTGTATTTATTAGGACAATTACTTCATAAGAAAGAAAACAACTAGCTACCTCTATGAAATGGTGTTTAAGCGATTTTTTAATTCCTATCAAATACAATTAGATGAACAATAATACTTTTAGAGATAATTTTTTTCTTTAAACATGGTTATATTTTACCATTTTTTGAGGGGGAGGGCTTCAGTCCAAAAGCTCCTCCCCACCCGATCCGCTTTTGGTTACAGCTGAAAATACAAGTACATGTGAATTGCTAACATGGACAGACTTGTAGCGAAACTAGCCGTTGCTAGCACAGTAATATTTTTATATTAGAAGGTCCCGAGACAATTCTATCTTTCTTTAAGGCGCCTAGGAGGATTGTCAAAGTAAGGACAATTGAGGATTTTGGATATTAAGGATTGATTACGAGAGGATTTTGATGGTTTAGTGGAGCCACAAAGCTCAACTCTATAAGTCCATATGGGTCTTATTATAGTCGAGTAAATTAGTCGTTTGTAGTTAATTGGAAGTTTAGAGCGTTTGTCTAATAAGTGACGAAAAAACCGGAATCTTCTACCAATTTCTTGTCGTTTTAGTCTAGTATGAGGATTCCAAGTTAGACGTTTGTCCAGGTGAAGTCCTAGGTATCAAATCTGTTCAATAGGGATAAGTGGAATATTATTAAAGGATATAAAGGACAGGAAATCATAGGTTTGCGGGAGCAAACCAATTCCCCCAAGGTCGATGGCGCATGAACCTCGTCATCCCAAAATATTTAATTGCTCTCCTCTTCTTAGAAACAGTGAAAGCGAAAGTATAATTTAAAAATAGGTGATATACAATTACACTAGGATCTGTTCTGTCTGTTACCATCCATCGGTCTGTTCGATGTGTTACCATTGTCCCCTTGTTGTGCAACTGCTGATGAAACCTGTATAAACTGTGTAGATGATAGGAATACCATCATCAGGAATACAATCATGAGGCCGCAGCGGACTGATAAAACCGGGATGAATAAGCACAAGTATGTTTTACTTTGATTGATCAGTCTGAGAGGTAGAAACGGATAATGAGAAAGTTAAGGCTATATAGAGGAGAGGAATGGACGAATTTTGTAAAGCATTCTCGGGTGCCAGACTCGATCAAATCCCACATTAAAATTTAAAAATATGAATTACCTTTAATTTCCAATTTTGTTAAATAATGTACATTGTCGTAATTAAATAAAATACTTACGAATAGTCTGACTCTTTAACTGAAGCGAAAGTAAGCTACTCGAAAAATAAAGACATGAAAGGTCACTTAACAGCCTAGAGAGTTTGAAGTTGAATTTTAATGTCCAAACTTCAAGCACTGAGAGAGGAGGCCCTGAATTGTTTCGTGAAGGAATAAACCGAGTTAATATTCTTAAGAACATGGTTCAGTGTAACTTGTTTAATAAGAAGTTGAAGGAACCAATGAAAATTTTCTAATAATCAAGATTTTTAACAAAGCAAGTTTCTTTTTCAGTTCTTTTAATATACAAAATAAAAGTATTTGGCAAAAATATGATGTATTAAAAACAGTAGTGGATCAAGGATTTAATTTTAAGGGAGGTAAACATTTTTTTTTTAATAACGGTTATTATCCTAGAAGAAAAAGAGAGTGATTTCTAAGGGCCCTTGAAGGCCAAAAGAGAGAAAAGTTTTTCAGTAATTACAGGAACGGCAATGCTTTTAGAGGTATACTTCTAATATTTTTAGGCTCTCCAATGATTATACATTATATAAAACACCGACATTTCAATATATTGATATATTTGCAACACCCTTTCTTATCTAGGGCAATATTCAGAAATATTATATCTACTATTATTGTGCTCAAGTTTAGGAGGAAGAAATTAAAATGATCTTGCGCGTTATCTAATATTTATAATATATTCAAAACTGTGTGAAGTCAATAACCACCATGAACTTTGCAGGTTCTCATAGTCCGTCCGTACCAAATACATTATTTAAATTTTTCAAATTTACCCAATCGGTGGAAGTTCGGTTAGATTTTCCATCATCCTCTCAGGTGGTAGAGGAAACGGGAATTAGGAAGTTTCTCTCAGGAATTATAAAACTTTCTGATGGACGGCTTTGCTACAGCCCTAATGGTTCTGTTAAAAAATTGTTATTTTGGGCCCTTTTTCTATTTTTCATTTCTTTTCTGTTGTTCCTTCTGCGGTAACAAGCTTTAGGCTGCC